TTAAAAAATTAAATTTTGATCAATAAAATAAAGATCAAATCTCTTCCCAACTAAGCCCACAGCCTCTTAGTAAAATAAATGTTGTTGATGCCACCTAATAATATGACTAGCTAACGATATTTTAAGCCCTTAAGCTTTACCCTTTTCTTACGAGTAAGCCCTCAACTTTAAAAGTGACCGAGAAACCCTTATCTTTAAGGGTGTAGCATTTTAGCCACAAATTAGATTTGGTATGCTCTAACATAAAAATTAAAAATGATATAGTTCGTCACATAGTATTTTAATCTTGTAATATGATATGTTATTATATAGTTTATTTTTTTATTTAAGGTTTTATATGTGATATTGTATATATTTACTTATTTAATAAAATATCATATTAATTTAATATTACATTATGATTGTGAGTTTACAATCTTACCTCATATTGTAACTATAGTATTGAAATGAAGGTTAAGAATGAGAAATGGTTTAAATAAAGATTTTAACTTCATTTTTTTATTTAAAAATGTTAACTTTACTAATTTTTAAATAAAAATATTAATTTTTAATTTTTTTTATTTAAAAATATTAATTTTCAATCTTGTTTATTTAACATCTTTAAATAAAAAATATGAAAGTTGACATATTCATTTAAAAACTAATAAAATTAACATTCTTGAATAAAAAACATATAAAATTAAAATCTTATTTGAATCAATTTCTCGATTAAGAATTCAAATTCTAGCAACAAAAAATAATTTTATAAGATGGATTATATATTAAAAGTGTAGCCTACCTTACGAATTCATTAAAATATTTTTAATGAAATTATTTTTTATATTATTTTATTAAAATTATTTTAATAAATTTATAAAATAAATTATATTTTAAATGAATAATCTAAATTGCATTACATGAATCCCTTCTAGCAATACCAAGTAGCTAGCCTTCAATGTAAGAAAAAAAGAGAGGCTAACATTTTTGATGGAAAAAAATCTTCTAGTTCATAGAACAAACTTGAAAATTACATTCATAACACACCGACCTTAACTTTGGGTAATCTGCTATGCCCGTGAAGATAATGGGTCTTATTTGCAGGTTTTTAAGTTGATGGGCTTCTCAGCTGATTTGAAGTAAAATTTCGATGGCTTGAAGGCATGGTTTTGAATTTTAAGATGCTTATGATGTGATTATTGAAAAGATGAAAAATGAAATTATCTATTTTCCGAATTTCCAGTAGATTACAATCCTCCATTGGGAGCACAGGAAAAAAGAACTTTCCAGGAAGTGCTGAGGAAAACCTTGAACTATCTTCAATTCCTTCATCTTCCACAACAGAAATCACTAAACCCAAAACCCAACTGTCAATTCCACTGTTTGTGGCAAAAAAATGATGGCCTCAAGCATCCCAACTCGGTTTCATAGCAAGCCCTCATACACCCGACAAATGCTTGCTGCCAGCGCCGGCATGGAAGCTATCAAGGCGGATGCCACAAAACCCAGAAGCAGAAAGCCATCGGTCTTTTCATATTTAAGGAAGCGTCATGGCTACCATAATCATTATAGCATTATCTTCAAACCCATTTCTAGTTCTAGCCGTACAGTTCTCAGGAAGGTCAGTGATGACGGCGCCATTGGTGCCACCCCAAAGGAGTCTTCTTCTTCTGTAAGTTCCCAAGCAGCGTTTTTACCCATCTATGTCCTGATGGCTTTTGTGTTGTTTTGGGTTTTGTTCCTGGGTGTTGAATTTGTTTTTGTTGTATTGTAACTGCTATTTGCTCAAAGGGAAGTATCTCTTTCCGCCATGTGTTTAATTTTGAGATTCTTATAGAATGAAAGATGTTTGTAAGGGTAAGAAATATTTCTTGGATTCAGATGTGATAAATAATGAACTGAAGTTTGGTGACATAAATGTGGTAAGTATTCAAGTTGGAGAATTAGGCCTGAAGTTCTTTGCTTGTGATGGATGTAGGTATGTGACAACATGACGTGAAAATTAATTGGCTATTTAATGTGGTATGAAATGTGAATTAAAAAGGAAAGTTTGTTTCTTTCTTCTGGCGCCTGTTGATAGAATGTAGCACTGAGCTCTAGTAGTAGAAAAGCATAAAACTTTCATCAAAGATGGTAAAAATAAGAATGGAAGGAGTCACTCGAATGCCAAGTCACAGTTAAGGTGAGATTCAGGAAAACAAATGAGCTGTTTGAAATGATTTCGAAAGGTTTGTGTTTTTTGAGGGCTTTGTGAAGTAGGATAGGATCATTCATTGTTGCAAAGGGTGGCATATGAACTAGTGTTGTGCTGTCACGTTATGCATGCAACAGCTTAAGCTTGCATCTTTTGGTTGATCCATGACAAACATGCCAGTCATGGAGATTGTGCGCATTAATAGTTTTACTCCCTCATCTTGCTACTTCCTCATTTTTCCATTTTTCTTTCATGGAAGGTCAATGTTCAACGGTTTATGTTTGTTGCTGATTCAGCTTTCCAAATAATTTCAGGACAGTGGGGAGATAAGCAGTAGCTCTTCTACTATTGGGGATAACTATGTGGCCTTGTTTGTTCGGATGCTTGGGCTAGACCATGATCCTCTTGACAGAGAACAGGCAGTAGATGCTCTATGGAAATATTCTCTTGGTGGAAAGAAGTGCATTGATGCTATTATGCAGTTTCATGGTTGCTTGATTTTGGTTGTAAACCTTCTTAGTTCAGAGTCTAGTTATAGTTGTGAAGCTGCTGCAGGCCTTTTACGATCTATATCTTCAATTAATTTGTACGGAGATTCAGTGGCAGAAAGTGGGGCAATAGAAGAGATAGCTAGTTTGCTGAGTCGACCTTCCTTGACTTCTGAGGTATAGAAGAGGCATTTCCCCTTTTATATTCTCATCATATGTTATTGGTTGTAGGAAATTGAGATGTATCTTTAATTTACCTTTTCAGGTGAAGGAGCAAAGTATATGCACTTTGTGGAACTTGTCTGTAGATGAGAAGCTCAGAGTTAAAATTGCAGACATGGAGCTTCTAATGTTTCTTCTGAAGTCCCTAGATGATGACAACATAAAAGTCAAGGAAGCATCTGGAGGAGTTTTAGCAAATTTGGCTTTGAGCCAGTGTAATCACCAGAAAATGGTTGAAGTTGGTGTTATTCCAAAATTGGTGAGAATTTGCAGTGTCTTTGATGACTATGGAGTTTTTTTTTTTTCTTTTTTCCTTTTTTAATTAATTATGTGAACCAGGCATTTTCTGTTTACACATAAATGCTTTGGGTTGGGGTGGGGGGTGTTAGGTGAGAGGTTAGGGCAATGTGGGATGATACATGTCACAATTAATTGAGTTTCTGTGAAACCATTCTTCTTTTTAAGTGGACTTGGTTTTTCCTGGGACTGTAAATGGCCAAGAAAATGGTAATCTAGTCTACCTGTCTTACTGCTTAAAGCTTAAAGGGTTCTGTATTAGAAGCCTATGTTGGGTTTAGAAACTTGTTAATTCTGATCTATTCCTTTCTTCTATATTGTTCACAAAGTTTAACTATAGTTTTAAAGATGACATGAATGGCTTGTTAGTGTCTTTGTCACTAAATGAGGACCTTTGTAATTACATATCAATGTTACTTATTAAAGTTATGATTATGGAATGTCTGAGATCTCTTGGAAACCAAGTAGCTCCATCATCTTTGAGTCATTTATGACGCTAAAAGGTAGTGATGTATGATTAGGGTTGGGATTAATCAAAATTAAATATAATGACAGTTCAGTTCCAATGAGTCATCCTGGTATTCCCTTGTTTTGATAATTTAACTTGAATATTTTTACACTAATTACATTTAGTACTAAATGCAGGCAGCTATCTTGAATGATGATGTAAAAGCAACTGATATCATTGAAAAGGAAGCAAGAAATGCGTGGTTAGAGTCTAATGTCATTCGAAAGGAAGCAAGAAATGCATTGCTAGAACTTGCCAAGGATGATTATTATAAAATTCTTATCATAGAGGAAGGTCTAGTCCTGGTGCCCCTGGTTGGTGCAGAGGCCTACAAGTCCTTTAAACCACAATTGCATTCATGGCCTAGTCTACCAGATGGTACAGAGATAAAGCATACTGCAAAAGGTCCTTCCAAATATGGTGCCTCTGAATTACTTCTAGGGTTAAATGTTGACAAAAATGTGAAAATTGATGAAGCCAAGATAAATGCAATGGTTAGACAATCAAATCAGCAATTTCTTGCTCGAATCGGGGCTATTGAATTGATTGATGAGGGGGAATCTCAATCTAAATCCCCAAACAATCACCAAGTCACTCTTCTACCATGGATGGATGGTGTGGCTCGATTAGTTTTGATTCTTGGGCTTGAAGATGAAGTGGCAATATCAAGAGCTGCAGGGGCAATTGCTGATTCATGTATCAATGAACATATGCGGAGTTCATTCAAGGAAGCTGGTGCTATTAAGCATTTGATCCAGCTTTTAGATCATAATAGTTATGCTGTCAGATGTGCTGTAGCCCATGCTTTAGAGAGGTTGTCTGTCAGGTATCGTAATTATCCATGCTCAAATTCTGTTTTGCAAACATTTTTATTTTTGCAAGATGATATTTTTAGTTTTGAAGGTGAGAAGTAAAAGAGCATGGCACTTCTCAAAAATCCCATTGACTTAGTCTTGAATTTCCTCACTTAGCAGAAACAGTTATTTTGCCTGAGACTAGCAAAGTAATTGTTGTCTCTGGTACATTAGTTTAAGCTACTGATGTGAGTTTTCACTGGGCCATGGAGTTCTTACTGAATCCTACAAATAGAAAAAATTGGATTAGAGTTCGAATGAATTGGTTTTCAGTTTGTTTGTGTGCCTATCATGAAGGTCTAACCTAATATGGTTGTTGATTTTGACCTCATTTTTTTTGGTGGCTGGCTGTTAAAGTCTGTTCTCACTATCGCTTGCAAATGCATTTATATAGTTTTTTTCTAAATTTGGAATTGATTCTAGCTCATTTTTCTGATTTAGGCATTGAAGTTCTTTTTCTGTATTAAACACTGATCCTAAAATAACGAAGCTGAATATCTTGTCTGTTTATGGGAATGTAATCGCATTCTCTTCAGTAATTTTTGCTTTGGTTTATGAGTTCATAAATAATGAATGATGGAGTTAAACTTTATCTTTTATTTGCTTAACATCTCATACTGTCTTGCACTCTTGCTGCAGCCCTGGGGTTTGTCAGGCTATTGAAGCAGGAGGTGCTGTATGTGCCTTAGTTAATGCTCTAAAAGACAGAGACATCTGTGAAAGCTTGATGCAAATGGTATTTTACTATGCTTGTCCCAACAGTACTGAAAATAAATTTACCTTGGTGTGGTTATGACATTCAATAATGTTGCACTGCAGACCTTGGATACACTTGTACGTGTCTTAGATTCTACTAAAGAAATGGAATCAAAGGTTAGTATAATCTTTCTTGAAGCATACATGAATGTTCATGATTTCTACTGACTTACCAAATGCTTTAAATCATTCCAGTTTTATGATGGAGCAGTCAATGGATCAAAAAAGGTGCTGGATGATGCAGGAAGCCTTGATGCTTCTACAGGATTAACTGGAAATGAGATGGAGATACCTGCACCAAAAACCAATTCCAGGTATCCTTTCCTCTTGATGGTGCTACCTTTTTCTTTCCAAATGGATATTTCATCATAGTTAGAATCTTTATTATAGCTCTATTCTCTTGGGTGATTGTTATTGTTTCTTACTAAATATTAGTTTGATTCTGATAGTGCAAGGTCAATGCCAATAGAGGTAGGTAAAAAGCAGGTTAGGTTCTAAATTGATTCATGCCCTGCCTTTTGACAGGCCTCATCTACTAACTGTTAAAGAATAGGAAGAACGGAAAAGAAAAGGACTGGGATTTATACCTTCTGTTCAAAGCTTCTCATTTTTAGTTTTTTACCAAGGATTGCTTTGATTATTTCCAGACAACGTGTTTCCTGGTTGAGATTTTTTTGGCATGCTTGTTGGAAGAGATTGTCATTTATTGTGTAGTTGAGTACATTCATGTTGAATCCTTAAATCTGAAAGTTGAAAGGCACGCTGACTTGTTGCTTGTCTTGGAAATTTGACACAGGAAAGAGTTGCTGGACTCTGCTCTTATTGCCCGTCTTGTTGAGATTCTGAAGACAGCATCGCCTAACCTGCAAAGGAAAGCAGCTTCTATACTGGAGTTTGTGACAATTTTGGACCCTAGCATCGGGTTGATAGTTTCAAGTGATATAGCATCTGCTCTGGATGCAAACTATCAACAAAAGGGTTTGAAAGGTATGGAGAATTTTTTTTTTTTTTTTCTTCTGGAAAAGTTTAATTTTTACAGAAGTACCTTACCTGAGCCTTAAACAAAGTATTATGGACAGGACTATTTCTTTACCCCATTAAAGTCAGCAAGTTTTTATTAAATGTGCTAAAATGAGTCAGATGACCGTAAAACCATAATCTTCATGCTTGCTCATTTTTTTAAAAATTCATAGAAGCTTCTGTTAGCTTGTTTGACTCTCCACACTTGATCCGAGATAAGGGAATATTGATTACAAGTGGCATCTCTGTCTACTTCCAGATTAGATGACCACCATGATATTGTAAAAAGCAATAAGATGAACTCATTCAATAATTTTAGAATGTATCAATGTGGTTCTATCAAAAAAAAAAAAAAGTATCAATGTGGTTCCTTTGCTTCCTGCATTTGATTAACATGTTATGTATCTGATTTTCAGCAGACATTGAAGCTGATGCAGAAGGTCAGGATCCAGAGAAGTATGCTCTTGAACTTGAAGAAATTGGTCTCTCAATCCACGCAGCATCCCAGTTGCTAACGAAACTGCTTGATTCCAACCAGTTTTGTGAGACCATAAATGCTGACCATTTCACTAAGAGGCTCCGAAACATCATTAAATCCAATATCCCACTTAACCACAAAGAATCAGTTGCAGCTTGCCTTGTTAAACTGAACTATCTATCTGGTCCTGTCGTGGAATTTGAGAATCCAATCAACATGGAGGTAACTCTATATGAAACAATCCCGAGACTTATAGAGCAGATGAGATCCTCTTTCTCCCCAGAAGCACAGGAAGCTGCTGTTGTGGAACTGAACAGGATAGTTTCAGAAGGGGTGGTAGATTCCACACAAGCTGTTGCATCTGAGGGGGGAATATTTCCACTGGTAAATCTGATTGAAAATGGAAGCGAGAGGGCAGTTGAAGCAGGCTTGGCAATACTGTATAACCTCAGTATGGACATAGAGAATCATCCAGCAATTATAGCTGCTGGAGCAGTTCCAGTTTTGAAGAGGATTGTTCAGTCACAGAGACCACAATGGACACGAGCACTTCAGTTACTGAGAAATCTACCAGTATGATGAGGCAGATTATGAAGTCCATTCCTTCTCTTAAGACAATGTAAAAAGGTTGTCTAAATCATTTTTGTTCTGTTAGGAAGCCAAATTTTACATGTACCAAAAAAATACTCTATTAATTTATGCATTCCATCTTGTCCTTTGGCTGAAGAATAAAATTGTTGTCTTTTTTCCCCTATATTATTCCAAATATCTTGTGGATATTTCCAGTCCCCAACAGGAGCAAACACAGCCATGTCTAGCTTATCTTGTATTTCCATGACAAAAGCACTTGCTTGCGCCACCGTCACTGGAAACTCCTCTCCTCCCCCGCAAACCAAAAACACACCCAAATCAGAACCCACAACTCTACCAAGTAGAAAGAAACAACCTTTGCAGCAACGAAGGCCACAACAGCCCTCCATCGTCCAAATCGAACGTGCCATTGGAGCTGGCTCCTTCCGCGACGCAGACAGCACGTATGCCTTTGTTTTCACATCAAGAGAAGTTTGGTTTATCAATGTTTGTTCATGATTCTTGGTTTTGTTTTATGATCTCAAGATTGAATTTTCTCGTTACGTAATTTGTTTGATCTTGTTAAGCGATTTGGACCGGAGAAAGACTGTTTTTGATGGCCTTTTACCAATTACTACTGGGAAATTTGAGGGAGCTGTGGAGAAGCAGCTCAGGAAGACAGGGGAGTGGATTTCTAGCAATACAGAAGCAAAATTTCGTTCATCAGGTATTCGATTTCTTTCAGTTTATTATGTTTTTGAGTTTGGAAAACCATGAATGCTGCTTCAACTGGGGGTTCTTGTTTTCGACATTTTTCTGCAGGAAAAATGATTCTAATGTTTGTGCTCAAATGGATGCTACCAATCTGGACACTGTCTCTCCTGGTAGCTTCTGGAGTCATAAAACTCCCATGGACTTCCCCTCTTCTTGATGACCTGATTATGTGACTTTTAGCCTCCAACATTCAACAGAGTTGGCTTCTTCAGTTTGGTTTTGGCATCTGAACCACCTGTTAGGTTGGCATGAGTTGTTCAAATCAAAAAAAAGGTTGGCATGAGTTGTAAATTTCACATTTGTCCACAGCTAGACAGCATTGCACCTCTATACGACTACCTACTTTTGCGAGCAAATTATCATTAAATCACTTAAGAGATGTAATAGTGCATGCAAAGATTTGTTATCAACATTAACAAAAATAACTTTCAATTCTAATTAGATCAAATGCAAGGTGTTTACGTGCAACCTTTTATGATTCAAACCACACAAGGAGGTTGGTGCAAAGTCCCTCATTTTATTTTCTAATTTAAGTAAAAACATAATAAATAAAATATAAGTCTGACAGCATACCCCACGGGGGCCGCCAGAGTACCCGAGGTCACACGTTTCCTCAAAAAAGAAGATTGGCGACCAAATTTATTAAATAAAGTAAAATAAACAAAAAAAGTGGTGGAGGTGTTTTTTTTTTTTTTTTTCTCAACAGGTTAGAGTTTAAAATGCATAATTTACTTTATATATATATATATATCGAAAAGAATGGAGGGAAGAAGGAAGGGGAGGAAAATGGAACTCTTTGCCCTCTCTTATCTTTATTTATTTATTTAGATAAATAAATAAATTAAAAAAAATAAAAAATAATTTTTTTTTTTGCTCTCCTTGCCTTTTTATTTTCTTTAAGTTAAATATACTACTAAAGAATTTCATAGAAAAAGAGTTTTGTTTCGAAATTAGAGGGTGTTCTCTCATTCAATGACAAAAAGTT